ATTATTATCATTTCTATAATTATAAATAGCATTGACATTATAACGATCAACTAGCAGCTCACACCTGAGAGCTGAGGTAGCCAGGGAGGGACTCACAGAGTTCATCCTTTCTCTTCTGAGTTCATCCTTTCTCCTCTGAGTTCACCCTTTCTCCTCTGAGTTCACCCTTTCTCCTCTGAGTTCACCCTTTCTCCTCTGAATTCACCCTTTCTCCTCTCTTTGGATTCAGAATTGGTTTGAGCGAAAGTAACAATGATTGCTTGCATCACATGGTTTCGATATCACATGGTGACAATATCACATGGTGACAATATCACACGGTGACGATATCACACGGTGACGATATCACATGGTTACAGAATCACACGATAACAATATCACAGTGACAATATAACATAGTGACAGAATCACATAGTGACGATATCACACTGATTTCTAGAACATCCCAAATGTAATCACACCATCTCTGGCCTTGTTCTATCAAATATTGAAACAGATATCCCACAACCGTTTCCTCACTACAAAAATAACAATCTACAGTTTTATACTTCCCGGGAAGCTGAGAATGATTCCTCGTGGTCTACAGCGTAATGGGGTCATTATTATTATCATTATTATTATTATTATTATTATTACAATTATTATATTGTTGTTATTGTTGTTATTGTTGTTATTATTATTATTGTTGATATGACTACTATTATTATCATCATCATTTTTATTAGTATTATAATAATAATAATTATTATTGTCATTATTATTTATTATTATTATTATCATTATCATTATCACTATCATTATTACTAACATTATCATTGTTGTTATTATTATCATTATTATTATAGCAATTTCAACTATTATCGTACTACTCTCAAGAAACAGCGTATCTGAAATCATCCCAGAAGCAGCCCAAAAGCTGTGTTTTCCAACCCTCACTATGTTCCCACAACCCCTGAAGGTCGAGATCTTATTATACTCTTAAGGGATCCTCAAATGACGACCGATAATCCGGCAAAGTTACAACACGCCATCTCATCATCTCTTACATTCTTTCACATTTGTCAGGATTCGCTGGCAATAACTGAAGTCTTTTTCTAATGCTTCTTATGCTTTTATCTAAACTAGGACGCCCTCATGCTCTTTCTAAATGCAACGATGTCAGAACTGGTATGATGGTTATAACTCCACTTACTTTTCAACAACCACTCTCTCAGTGCACGATGTCACACATATCGGAGGATCTCCCTACATTGTCTGTAAATGTCACAATTATATCACATTTGGTCGCTTTTAAGCACAAGGGAGCCATTCCGAAAAATCTTGTTTTGAGACAATGGAAGGTTGAGACAATGAGAGTTTTCTTTGCAACCAAAACAAATATACCCACCATTTGGACCAAACTTCTCCTATAGGTAGGGCAATGCCCACTTTTGGGGTAGGTCAAGATTTCTGGAAAACCCCGAAATCTGGGTTAGCCCGCACGTCCTTCAAAGCGACCGTTTTTGATCTACAAAATCAAGTTGGGAAAAAAATCTCTCAAGGTCCCGAAAATATAAATTTGTCAAATCATTGAACATGTGCCATAAAACAGAGGAAACGACAGCATCTTGTGTGTTTTAACAACATTCTGGGGCGCAAATCATTCTATCAAATCACCTCACAATCTCTTACGTCATATCTATCAAATCATTACATACACAATCTCTCACATCATATCTATCAAATCACTACATACACAATCTCTCACATCATATCTATCAAATCACTACATACACAATCTCTCACATTATATTTATCAAATCACTACATACACAATCTCTCACATTATATCTTTCAAACCATCACACACAATCTCTTACATCATATCTCTCAAATCACTACATACACAATCTCCTATATTGTATCTTTCAAACCATCACACACAACCACAAACTATCACTGACACATTCACAGAAACAATCATAAACTTGGGCAGATAAAGTTATCAGTATTGAAAAAACAAATCATTAAATGAACCAACAACATACCAGCTCTAATTGTCTTAGACAAGAAACAACTGCGGGACAGCCTGGAACAATCTGCCATACAGCCTGACGCTCCAATCTCCCCCTACAAACTCACCAATGTCTTCGGATACAAATCGACCTGTCAAGAACAGCTCAAACGTCAATACAGAAAAAAGACCAGCTTTTTCACTTTGTTTAAATACATTTGTAGAATTTGAGTCATTTTAAGTCATTCTGGGAGGTTCTAAAGTGAACCTTTATCTAGACATGGCGCCAAATTACATGCGAACGAAGGTTACATTCTCAAACATCATCGCCAGAGCTCAGAAACAAATCCTTTAGGTGTCTGACACCTTCATTATCATTGACAAACAAAAATGTGGACTGGACAGAACTGGTATGATGTTTACAACTCCACTTACTTTTCAACAACCACTCTCTCACTGCTTGAATGAGTCAGCGATATGCATAGAGGATGGTGGTGTAGGTGAAAGGTGAAAGGTCAAACATGTCACAGGACAGGGGAGGCAACACGAGAACACAGCGATATCATAAGACTGGACACAAGGCCTCACGATCACGTGTATCCGTCACCTCAGAGAGAGAGAGTGTGTGTGTGTGTGTGTGTGTGTGTGAGTGTGTGTGTGTGTGTGTGTGTATGTGTGTGTGTGTGAGTGAGTGTGTGTGTGTGTG